GGTGATGGGAAAGGTGGCCGTCAAGCTGCCCGTGCAAAACACGCTGGACAATTTTGGTTATTGCAGTGACCCTGGAGATGGCACGGTAGTTACAAGGTACGGAGTGATCTCTGGATTTAAAGATAAAAAACTAGGAGCCGTTTCCGGGACATGGGCACAGGGAGAGATAGGCTGGATTGACTAGGTGGATAAGTACCGTTCACAGAGTGCGGTTATATGTGCCGTGAGCTGCCATCAATCGGTGATAGTGAGTGCTAGCATAATTTATGTACCTTGTTGTCTATGTGAATCAAATTTCGCTTGGGGAGGGGGCAAGTCAAAGGCTCCCGATGTTGTTCATCACTGACATGAGAACACTGCATTGCATTTCAGGACTTTAGGTCACATGTAAAAGCCACACATGGCTAGAGCATTCCGATCGGTCGTGATACCGTTCCTGCTGGACGATCTCCAATGATACACAACTTGTATGTGCCGCAAGTTAAAAATGCAAAAGACACCCACGCCTTCTGAGCAAACAAAACGACTCTTACATCTAAACAAAATATGATTGATTACGTGTGCTGCCGTTCGCGGACAAGCCAACTGATAAGATAGCTTCAACTGAGACAATAAACCCCTGTGAGATATTGCGTGAATCAACATTGTAATCCACCCACACACTGGTCACCGCCGCGGTGCAGGAGCGGGGAGACAGAAGTTATATTTTTTAATACCACTGGCAAAATACCGTGAGCTGTCACATGTCTCGTTATGCTATTGCCCGCAACGGAAGGGAATTAAAAATGATGTTCTAGACGAGCGTGCCATCAATGCATGCATCGACACGGAGGCAGTTAAAAACTATTTTTTTACCATGCATGTTGACTGCAGTGCATAGAAAGACTTTGACATTGCTTTGGTTAGCAGGCTGAGAGACGATATGTAAAAAGTATCAGATGTTACAGCATTTAAGTGTGTAAGCGCCTCGTGCGCCGTGAGCTCCTCTGGTGTCTGATGTGATGACAGGTTTCTCCTATATCAATTTTCTCAAAATGCAAGGGTTGGGTTAACGGCGCTCGTTCATGGGTGGGTACAAGGGGCCTACGGGGACTGTACCGCCCTCCCCCGCCTCTGGTGGTCTGGGGACCCCTCGGCCGGGCCGAAGAGTCGGCCGAGGGGTCCCCAAAATTCCGGTCAGGATAAGGCGGTATTTGGGCCTCTGAAGCATTGACAGCAGTATTGACGAGCATTGACAGGGCCATCTAAAGCCCTGTCAACGGGGGCCCCAAAACTGAATAAGGTCCCCGTGCCCGGCAAGGGTCCACCAGCCAAACAGGGCTGGAGCAGCACTCAGAATGTCAGATAGAGACTCCTCAGACGTCGTTCTTGGGGGCCCCTGAAGCATTAAGGACCCCTTTGTTCTTTAGGGAGCCTCAGTACTGAACAGAAGATCCCCTGTACCGAACAGGGGGTCTCTACACTGAACAGGGGCTTCTTGCAAGCCAGGAGGAACCCATTAGCCGATCGGGAGAACAGCCATAGTCAGCGAATTTGTCATGGCAACCTCTGTTGCATCACAAAGAGACCCTCAGACAATAGCATACAGTGTCGGTTAAGGGCCTCGGGTTCGGACAGGGGCTCTTGCCAGTCAGAACCCAATTCGTGGAACAAGGGCAGGGCAAGGCCTAGATTGATAGTCAAGCAGCCTTCCCGTCGTTGGTCATCTTCCTTGAGACATCAAGGTCCCACTGTAGGCCAAAGGGGTCCGGTACTGGTAAGGGGAGCTCCAATGCTGATCAAGCATCCCGCGTTAGCCCGAGGCCCACCTAGCTCAGTGAGGACAGGGCCGTGGCCGTCGTATACCAGTCATACGATCTGCTCGGCATCACTCAGGGCCGGGGCCCCTGAAACAATGAGAAGGTCACTCTCCCGGTCCGGGGTCTTTTGATGCCGAACAAATGGGCCTCTGGCACTGAGCAAGGGCTCGTGCAAGCAAGGAGGCCCATTAACCAAACTAGGGTAGCCCAGGGTTCCAGAATGAAAGTCGGCCAGCTTTATCACCCTGGGCCTCCTGAGACGGTGATGGGTGCGACTACCAGCAATCAAGGGCCCATGGAAGTGATCCTAAACAAGGACCACCGGGTCGGAACGAGAGGTTCGTGGCCTGCGGATGCGGTCAGGTAGTGCTATTGGTGAGGAAGTTCAAGGCTCGGATTTCGGGATGCAGGCACCATGCCGGCTATGGGAGCCTGACTGGAGACGTGCACTGTCATGTGATGGATCCCTTTAATATGATAGCTTTGTTATAAGGGACACGGTACTGCCAGATTCGCTCCATTGCCTTGACCAGAACGTATCGCCACTTTCATCCCCTCTCGTCGACGCTGTTTTGCACGAGGATGTGGTCGATGTGGGTGGGACCTGCGCTCGGCAGGTTTATATAATATATTTATTGCATGTCAGTTGGTGAGTGAAATCCGTCGCTCAGTGAAAATGCCCACCAGGCGCGGCGCACACTGTGCATACTCAAGCACCTAACCTGCCAGAGGCACAGGCGGGTGGCACATGCCTCCCAAGGTTCCGGGGGGCCCTTCATGCCCCTCGGACCCACTCGAAGATATTGGAGCAAGCATCAGATGTAATTGAACGGACTCAATTATAAATATTGGTGATTTTTAAGTGTGAAAAGACTGCACTGGACAACATTCTACCCTCATTTTGGTAAATATGTCCCTCAGCACCCCATGGCTGGATTACGTCATTGTATCGTGCACAACATTGATTGAGAGCCGATTGACAGTCGTTACATCGGGACATCGGAGTTACATTACAACTATGCTCCTGAACGCCGGATATGAACGACTCAAAAATTATATTATTCTTTGCATTGATCGTCGCCTAGCCAATGAATTGACAGCATTTAATGACGTCATGATGGCGTCATTGGTGCCCTAGTGACCTTGAAATAGTCTCCCGAAATATTCTGCACATTTGACGGGTGTGTAGTTCAGAGGTAAGAGGGGTTTAAGTCTTAAGGTAGATGGGGCTTTGAACTAGGCCGAATGGTCTTCGAGACTGCCATTTTAGTTCAACACCCCACACAGATACGAAACTCTCACTTTAAGGGGCCCATTTGGAAATGACTGTCCGGAAGTCGTATTACGGTTCCCAGCAGAGCCGGTGAAGGGCCAACTGCCGTGGCGTAGGCCCGCGTGATCAGTCGGAGCGTCAGGGAGAGGAGAGACATGTGATTCATCCCTCCGAGAGCGTGATCAGTCGGAGCGTCAGGGAGAGGAGAGACATGTGATTCATCCCTCCGAAAGCGTGATCAGTCGGAGCGTCAGGGAGAGGAGAGACATATGACTCATCCCTCCGAGAACCTCGTATTCGACGAGGTGGCCTCGACTTCTGCTCTGCCAGAATGACAGCCACTAGGGACCCAAGCTGGGACCGAAAGAGCTGTAGCTCCTGGCCGAGAAAGGTGATGGCATCCACAGGAACCACATTTTATCTTTGTAATCTTGAGGTTTTCTCTGAATGGATTAGCCCTTACAGCAGCACGAACAACAGAGTTCGGCACCGTTCGGCACCGCGAACCCTTGGTGCCAAGAGTTCGCGGTGCCGAACGGTCTGATCCGTTCTGAGCATTGCGTTCCAGTGGTACAGCGGGTAAGCTGCACGTCTGAGAAATCATGGATACGGGGTGGGGTTCGTTGTGCCCTCCCTTCTCGCCAGAATAAGAGGTGGGCGACACCAAAAAGCCTCAGCAGTTGAGTGCGTCGTAAAGCCTCAATAACACATGTTCTGAGTGTGTCAGTTAATGTAAAAGTTAAAGAGGCGAAACGTACGGCCCAGACTATCTTCCGCGCGGATGAATATATGTCATCAACCGCAAAGCGTGCTTCTTTCCGATGAATGGCTAAACAACGTTTTAGGGTACCTGGTAAATTTAATCTACCAGAAATTGTTGTCCGTGCACTTGAAATGTCTGGTAAACGGAAACATATTGATGAAAAAAACGGCTGATACCGTTTGATAGAAATCATTTTTTTTCAATCCTGCGTATACAGTTGAAATTCACTATATGACTAGACACACTCTCCTGAAGCAACAAGCCTCAAGACCGTTCCACGCATACGGCTGTTAAGACAATTCTCACCTGGTTGCTGTGATTCAGACAATGCAGCAGAATGGTTCCACTTAATGGGGCATGCCACCTTTTTGTACTTTCTATTTATTGTTGGATCAGACACGTTCGATTTGATCAAAAATGCCGATTTTTCGAAATCCTTCCGAACAACTCAGGGCTTTGATTTGAAGCAGCCGACCCTGCAGGACGAATCCCATTTGACTCCCTGCCCACCACTATGGAAGGAGCACATTTCATTTATCTTGTTTTTCAAAGCTGTGTCCTTTTTGCCACGGTTACAGTTACTAATTCGTATAAGTGTATGTGTAGTAGACACTATAAAAGTTTAGACACTGTTTAAACAACAAAGATATGCGAACGTGAAGATCTTATCCCGCAAATTCAACGAAACGTTATACTATGGTTTTGGTTTCTCCCCAATGGCGTTTACCCCAGCCGCCCTTTTCGAAACGCATTTTGACTTTGGGAACAGGAGTTTCACATAGCCTAGAGTGATGCACTGGTACACACTCCAACTAATGTGGTTCTCGGTAACAGACCCTTACCACTCGCTGGGCCAATCGCAAACATTGTTTTAATCGCACCAATAGACGTGTGCACGTTATCGTTGTGGCGACTCGGGTCGCGACAACTGCAGGGAAGAAGCGCTGTGCCGTTACAAAGCATTAACAGCGTAATTTGGACTCGAAAATTAACAAAATCGATGTCCTTACCATATCTTGACGGTGCTGCAGTGACACTACCCAGTGTTATTATTAAACGTAATTGGTTCCGAAGTTTCAATGGGGAATGCTTTTGAAATGTGCCTCAAAGGTGTGACACCCCTTTAAAGTGCAATGTTCTGATCTGCTGGCCGCCTGTATTTCAGGTGGCCCGGTCCAACGAGCACGACCTTTACCTGTCGCAAGTGGACCTGGACGCCGCCGGCTGGTACAAGTGTGAGGTGACATCGGGCGCTCCCCTGTTCTGGACCGTGGAGAAGCGCAAGAAGGTCCAGGTCGTCGGTGAGAGAGCCGGTGGCATTGCGGACGGGGCCATGAGGTCCGTCATACGTGGGAACCAAACTGGAGTGTGTGGAACGACACTATGCCCCAGCGTTGCCCGTTGAATGGCCAGTTCACACGCCGTTGATGGTCCACCTTCCTCGTCGCATGTTTCTGACACATCATCGACCGCCTTTACAATCCCCACCACAGTCTGACAGCCACCGTCGTCGGCCGGCCCCGGGCAGGGCCTCCACGCGGCAGTCGTGACCTCTCCCGGCGGCAGCAGCGTCTTCCGCGAACAGATATGGCATGGGGCGGAGCTCGTGCTGCGCGGTCTGGCACGGCAGCATTGCACCGGGAAACATTATCACGGCCGTAGCTGTTCTGCACAGTAGGGCCAAGCGGCACGCTATGCGCATTGATGAGCGGATTTCTCCTTTTCAGCGGAATGTTTTTTCGGGGTGGCGGGGGGGGGGGGGGGGCTGCGGGACTATGCCATGGTTTCTTTCAGACGTAGACCACACCAGTTGTTCCTTTGACACACAGCCTCTGTTAAGCCGAATTTACGAGACTTTAGAGAACCGTGGTCTGTTGGTAGATATTTGAATCAAGCATGTGCTAAGATCCGAAAATGATCCGAGGATCGGACCCCTAGGTTCGGGTTCGAAATCTTTTGACGCCCTGGATATTATATGAAGGTTCGTCGAAAGACCTAAGACTTAGATCTTTTTAAAATTTTGCAGCAGGATTTCGTGTGATCTTGTATTTTTGAACATTTTGTTCTGGAAGATCTATTGAGATCTCAGAACTAACTCAATCATATCAATCATATACATCATAACATCGCACGCTTGTGCGTGTTGAAGAAAGAGTGCAATCGCCTTTGCGTCCGTCCACGGCACGGTGATCTGGCGATTCAAATAACTGCTGTCGCTGAATGCGGCGGGACTGTTCAAAGTGCGCGGTGCGTAAGGTGTCGCTTTCCGGTCCAAAATACGCATTATGAGACCGGGACCTCCGCAAGATTGCTCCATGTCAAAAAACTGACCTCCCTTCAATATTCAAGACTGCCAAAATCAGCAGAAACGTGAAACGCGTAGATGCATATAAAATATGGATACATGTGCCAAACACTTCATCGCTTTGGTCATAAAAAATGTCATGTTACACACTGGGTTCGGTTTGAATATTTTTGTGAGGGACGCAGCCTCGTTGTTGAGTTGCCGCCCCCCCCCCCCCCCTCCAATGTTGGCTTGGGGCCGCCCAATGTTTTTGGCCAGACTGACACAAAAGTTAACCATCACACAAGACTGTCTTCTTTGAGCATCGTTTGCTGGCCATGAATACAAGGACGAATCCAGAAATTTCGCCGGAAGTTTGGTACAGCTCTGTTAATAAAACCTGCATTGGTACATATGGGCAAGTCACATTGTAACAGGTTATTGCAGCTAGTCTACAGGGAGGTACGTTACTGGACAAGTGATGATTCTCAACCGGGCTACCGCCTTGTCGCTCATACATCTCGGGGTATGAAAAGTTTGTAATGCAGTCCCGAAAGCCAAGGAAAGGCCATCACTTGCCAACTTTTTTACATGCTTGTATACCCGTCCCACGTCACGAGTGCAAGTGGTTTTGCATGTAATGCACAAGTTGTTGCACGTGGGACAATAACGGGATGGGCGACCGCCAGCCACCCAGACCACTTGTACAATGGTGTATTCATATTTGCTATATTTGGAGCAGTTTCGGTGGTCTTGCACCGGTCTTGCCGGGAGGTCCGTCGTTGCGCTTGGGGCAACCATCGCTTGGCAGCCGCCAGCCGCCCAGACCGCTCGCACCATGCCTCGGTGGTTGTTTTTCAGACCCGCGTTTACAAGTGGAGTATAGACTGGAAGGCGGCAGGTTTTCTATCACCTGAGCACTTATTCTACGCTGTTTGCTATTTAGCTTTTTACATTGATGGCGTGCCTTTCCTACTCAGTGTTCTTCATTAACGGCATTCCCGCCCTACTCTAGGGCACCTTGTTGTCCCTTCGCTGGCCGGGGGGCCGGCCGGCGAAGTTATGTTATGAGCTGCGACATATTAGGTACAATAAAGTATTAGGTATTTCAATATCTTAGGGGTCTGTTATGAAACATGAGGCGTTTCGATACCTTAGGTGCTATGAAGCATTATAGGTTTTAATTCATTAGAGGTGACTATACATTTGTGTTTGCAAACATGAGAGCAACCGATACTGACCCACTTTCAAATTGACAGCGCAAATTGCGTTACACAGTTTTGCGTACGTTTAGCTCAGAAATAACAGGGTTATAATTCTTCAAGACGGTACGGCTATGAACTGCAGTGCATTGTCACGAATATGGATATCTCAGTCCAAAAATCTCATACGAAATTGGAATAGTCCAATGAGCGATTTCGTAACACGCGTAAGGTGCTTTAAGCATGAACTTTTATGTCGATAACAAAACGGCCGATTAGTGCTCACTTTCAACTGTGTTCGTGGTACATGCCACTGCAGCAGTAACGACCCTATATACAGTACATCATGCACTCAATCCAATATTCCATACCTATGATTGATATAGCCGCAACACGTGCCTTTACAAATTAACCAGGTATGTATGACGTCATTACAATATCACGCGAATTCCCCCGCCCCTCCCCTCCCCCCATCTCTTTGGCTGTATCGTGTTCATGGCTAAGAAAATATGGTCGCTGGGATATTTGTGATTGCAGTGATTCAGCACCAAGTGCACCAGCGACAGAAGGCTGATAAAAGCTGATCGGATTGACTGATGGTCAGATGGCGTTGGTGCGAGCATGTCTCGATCACAAATCGCGTTTTTGTGATACATAGCTCAGACATTGAACAACTATTAGTTATTACAGAGATGAGGCTGAAAATCGAATACACGAATTAGTCACACCGTCCGTACCATGGCATCTGGACAAAGCCAGTCTGGCAACAGCTGTGGCGTAATAAAAACGTTCCATGACATGAGTTGACGATGACGTGTTGAAGAAAATATTTAATGAATATTGTAATCATGGCATTAAGAGCAGTCTTTTGGACTTCTAAACTTGCCAATAGCTTAAAGTAAGATGAGGTTTGATACAGGTGAGCTTATCCATTACATCTGACGCTTGCCTCGCTATCTCAAATGTGGAACAGTCCCTTTAAACCATGAGGGTCAATGGCAATGTCAGTAATTGATAATGTATGCTTAATGCTTTGGTCTTGTAGCATGTACTATCCAACAGTATACGGCAAGCCATCATTTCATGACAAAAGAGAGGCGTCACGTGCCAATGCACAGTCCAGCTTCGCACACAAGCGAAGCGAAATCAATAAGAAGTGATTTTCGAAGTTGTTTGGCCAAGTCTAATCGATTTGTCAGTAGACAGGCCACGGAGGCAGAAAGTTTTGCAGCATGGCATGAATTGAGCTATCCGTCACATCTACAGCAGTAGTTGAGTAATGGTTCATGAATCCCCGAGATGTCTGCGCTGCCACGTGATTTGATCAGGCCGGCTCCGGCTGAGCGTCATCGAGGCACTTGGGCCTTACAGCCAGCACGCGGCGCGTGGCGTCGGCCGGTCCGCTCCATCTGGCGATACCATCTGCAGCGCGGCCGGCCGGAGGGCGGGCCCGCACATTACCGGCTGGGAGACAAAGCCCGCCGGGTTTACAGGCTTCAGACCCGAGGGAGGGGAGCTGCGGCGGTGGCCGTGGCGCAGCCCCCCCCCCCCCCTCCCCCGCTCGCCGCACCGCCCCCCCCCCCTCCCCCTCCCCCCTCCGCCCGGGTCGCCCGCCTCCCGCCTCGCCGGTCGCCGGGCGGCGTTATTGCGGATTAGCGATTTGTGACGGGGTTGTCGACGATCGGGCGGAGGCAGGGAGGAGTAATCGCACCCCCACCGGCGTGGATTGGAGAAACGATGACTCGAGACGTTCAGATGTGGCCGACTTCGGCTTCGGCTCAGGGCGAACGCCTCGGATCCGAGCTGGAGGCGTTTGAAGCCCAGCTGCTGACCGTTGCGAAATGGAGCGGAGCCAGGGAACGAGCGAGACGTTCACTGTCTGAGGTGGCGCAGACGCATGAGCGTGAGACTACAGGAAGAAGTAGGAGAACGGTAGAAACACGAGTGATGTAGGAACCTTCGAAGAGTGGGACTGAGGTAACGGACCGATTATGATCTGCTCGATTAGGATTGTGTTTTATATATAATCACTCTAACCAATTACGACTATCGATCGCGCCCCGCCACGCATCACTGCAGGCAACATTCTATGTACATCCGGGGTTAGAAGTCAGCTGCTCTCAGCTGAACACCTCCCCGCCGTTGATCTTTAGCTTGGCGAAATTATATTTAAATTACACATTGGTATTTATACGACAATCATTACATTTATATTACTACAAAATGATAGTTACCGCGATGTTTACACGCCCGTCGTCTTTGGCAGGATTCTGCGCATTTCAAAATGAGTTGTGTTCATCAGTTATGTGCAGGGTAGTCTCCTCAGTCCTTAAAGTCCCTAAAAATGGGATGTCTGCTTTTCCAAAAAGAGGGGTAACCTGACGCTGGATGGTGCGTTTGTCCCTTTCCTGTTGATGGGAACGCCCCCCCCCCCCCCCCCCACCGACTACGCCCGAAATCGATTGCCCTCTTGACGTGGGCGGCTGCGGGTAGTTTGAATTTAGACCGGAAGGGGTAATCTGACTGTGGACCCCTCGTCTTGGTGTGTTTACATGGCTGAAGCGGGCTTACACTGCTAATAGCCGGTAGTCCGCACTTGGTAAGCTCGAATCAAGGAACAGATTATGGGCATATAATGCGCCCTTACGACAAATCGATGCGTTGGTGCAGCGTTGGTACTTCGCAGATGATAGCTGGAGAGGGTCAGGATTTGTGTGGAGATCGTGGTATGAAGACGGAAGATTGATTATATTATGTTGCATAACTGCAAGTTTATATATATATATATATATATATATATATATATATATATGTG